TTACGTGAAATTTTTACACCTCCCCCTTCTTTTTTAATTTTTTGCGATTCTCTCTCTTCTTTGGTATTCCCTGCCTTTCCTGACTTGTGTGTGGCTGATGTTAAGCTAAAAATTGAATAAATAAATAAAGAGAAAAATATTTCTGCATTAATGCAGATAAATTATCTATATTTATTTTTAAAACGATGTTATTTTGTTATTGAAATGTTAAAAAATTATAAATATAAACACTATTATAACCCTGAAATAAATTAAAATTACAAAAATACCATGATTATCGTCCAAAACGATGTCGTATTGGACTTACTACAGATAACTTATTTGCAGAAAAAACGAACCCATAAATAAAAAAAATATAAGTATGTATCTATGGTAGAAAAAAAAAATTTGTCATAGAGAATAGATCAAAATGAGAAAAACCTATAAGAAGAGAGAAACTAATTAAACGAGAGACCCACTCTATTCTTACTCTCTCTGGCAGTTTTTTTTCCTGCCAGATATTCCCATAAATAAAACTCATCCTGTTTCTATTTTTTGTAAAAGAACAAAAGTTTAATATAAAATTATAAAAGAGGTATTCATTTAATAATTTGAGTTTTTGTGTGAGAGAGTTGTCTAATACTTTAAACATTCAATTTTGTTCCAAATATTTAAAAATGATAAAAAAATAAATAAAAAGAGGGTTGCTCATTTTTGAGACAACTACACTGTTTCGGGTAGCATTTTTTGGAGAGCTATTTCTCTTAATTGAATCGTTAGATCATTCTCAGATTTGGTTGGCATATTCCTCTCATATGATACTTCAATCTGATCGAACCGATTTTCAAGCTAAGCCCTCTAGTGTGAGATACGATTGTCAAAAAATGGTTGTCCACATTGAAAAAAACTAAATTTCTTAAGAAGTCTTACATTGTTCACTCCTCATTCCTTCTTCCTCCCTTCCCTCTATATAAAGAGCTCATCCCCCTTCTTTCTAACACATACAATTTGGAGAGAATCAAATAAAAAAACACAAAAAGACTCTTCCAAGAGTTAGAAAGACACTTGGGATTTATATTAAAGCTTGTGTCATAGTAATTTTTAAGAACGACGTGACTTTGAATTCCTCACTGCACCTGAGAGCAGAACTCTTTCCGTCAAACTAAAATAGAGTTTAATAAATTATTTCTTTTCTTAATCATATTTATATTTTATGGGAAAAAAAATATTTTTAAAAGCTATTAATAATTCGCACAATAAATTTATGGTAACTGTTTAAAACGGATGTGTTGCAGTTAGATTAAGTTTTTATCCTTCCTTGAGCATAATTGGTCTCCCGAATCTTTGATCTATAATTTTATAGACCGGTTTACCATTAAGATTTTTCTAATTTTTTCAAAATAAATAAAAATTGATAACGACTCCGTTTGTTTTAATTTTTTATTTTCGGGTCATTACAAATACAATATCATAGTCAATAATCAAAACATTTCTTAGCATATTTTGGCAATAAGTAAGTTTGTATATTATTCACCTTTTTGAGTTCAATAAATTATTGTGTGATGGGATGCAATTGTTTAATAAGTGATGATAATAGATTGTAGGATGTGTTCTTAACAGGACGGTACTTGAACAGACGGGCCGGAGCAAAATGGAGATGTAGATGCTGATCGTGAAGCAACACTATCTTATAGAGATAGGCCACTAAGGTCTAGTCGCATCATTGGTGGTAGCCATTCTCATTTCTCACCATTCCCTTACATGAGTACTTTGAATTCATAGGTACCGCGCAAATTGGGGGAAGGAATATCTTACCAGCCATAATTCACATATATCACTGTATGTCATTGAATTATACACCAATCGACATGAATCCATTATTGGATTGCATTATTCTCTTCAATAGAATTGAATCCAAACTGTATATATCATAGCGAAAACGATTTAAATAAAAAATCTTTCAACCCCATCAGTTTGTTATTGGCTGAGTCATCTCTCTAATTGTGTGAAATTTTTTCTTAGATATCTTAATTTTGGCATAAATTATTATTATTATTATTATTATTATTATTAATATTAATTGAGTTGTGCATTAACTGACTTAAAAACTATCTAATTGTATGATAAATATGATTATAATAATAAAAATAAATCTAATTATGTTAGGTGAGTTATACTTTACCCTCCTGTAATCCTTTTTCAAGTTATCATTTTTAAATGACAATTTTTTGTTTTAAACCCCTCTAATGTGATCCAATGTTGCATTTATTGATTTTGTTGTTAACTTTAATGTTGGTTACGTCACTAGAGTTGCACATGACTTCTATGTGATAAAAGGTGATGTTCCTCTTTCCCATTTGTTGTGAATTAAAGTGCCTTGTACTAACATGCAGCTTGAGGGATTCCTTGCAAGCCCATCCTACTACGCAACATCTCCAACCTTATGAGAGATATTCACGTTTAATACATTTAATGAATTTGTGTAATATCTATGCTTTAGATTCAAAGAATTTTTACATGAAATAATATATTAAAGAGATATAATATAAAATTATTAAAAGCTTAAACTATTGGTAAGTTAATCGTTTTATATGGTCGGTGACATTACGGTCACAAATTTGATTTCCATAGTTTAATTCGTATGTGCAAAGGCGAATCTAGGTTGAAGAGAAGGGGGGCAAGTGCCCACCTTTAAAATATGATGTAAAAATACAAAAATATTTTTATCTTAAAATTCAAGTTTTCTCAATTTAATTTCGGGGTAGGATATTATAACAACCAAATAAGGTTACTACTAATATTACTACCAATCAATTCGTTAGATCGATTATGTTGATCCAACATTTATATTTATTTTTATCTTTGTATGGTTATGATTCCCCATATTTAATACTTTATATTTATTTTCACCTTTGTATAGTTATGTAAATATGGGAATCATAACCATACAAAGATAGAAATAAATATAACCGTTAGATCAACATATTCGATCTAACGGTGAAATTAATTGGTAGTAACCCTAATTGGTTGTTACGATATCTTACCCCTTTAATTTTCCTTATTCTATTTTATTTTTCCGTGAGTTTTTTTTCTCTTCCATCTTCATTGTCCAAACTAACAGCAGAGAGCTCTATTTGACATCCATCATTTGCATCTACATACTGATTCATCTCCTCTCACACCTCAATCTCCATTATTGGAAGTTGGAACATTTGCTTCTTCCTCTATTATCGATCTAGTTGAGACGCAATCCGTCTAGATATATATCTAAACCAGTCCCAGCCTTCCAGTTGAGTCGCAATCTGTCTAGATATATATCTAAACTAGTCTCAGCCAGCCGGCAGCTACTCGCAAGTCGCGTTTCAGACTAGACCTTATTAAATGCCCACCCTTCATTAATCTGGATCTGCGTATGTGATTTGAAACTAATGATTTGAAACTAAGAGTATGATTTTTTATTTAGCCATTTCATTCATAAAAAAGTCAATCTCATAGAGAACTACCGTACCCTCTATTTACGGAAGAGAACAATTTGCCAAAGATGACCACTTCGTACCCAAAATGAGAGTTAGGATTAACCATTGCTAAAGTGAACAGCAAAAGTAACAAGTGCCATGCGGACTAAGCTAGACGGGGGTTTATAAGTAGTGACACACACAAATTTAAAGGGGTAATTTAAACATAAATATATTAAACAACAGGAGTGTAAAGTAAAAGTTACCTAATCATATTATATAAAAATGTAAAGGTATTAGAAATCCAAAAGTAAAATGATCAAATCTAAGGAATATATAAAAAGGTAATATTTTTCTCATTTTACCTAAGATAATAATTACTTCCTACAGAGAGAATAAATGAGAAGAAAAAAAAAAGAATGAAGTGAGAAATTTTTTTTGCAATAAAACCCATGTCTAAATGTGTGTGTAGAAATATTTTAGTCTCTTACGTAAAAGAAGAGACACTAACCCCAATATAAAATGATAGGAATATTAGTGAAGGGTATTTTGATTTTTGATCATTATATTGGATAACATTTTCTTTTCTTATAGAGATCAAATTATCGAACTATGACTTCAATAAAAGCAAAGCTAATGTCATTCAATTATAAAAGAATTTTATCAGATGAGCAATAACAATCACGTAAACTAACGAATGAGTTCGCTTTACAGTTAATATAGATAACTTATCTATATTAAATACAAAATGATATTGTTTCGAGGTGAAAATCAAAATATTTTTATAATTATAATTTATTTTAAAGTTATAATAGCCTTTTTCATTATAATTTTTAACTCAAAACAACGTCGTTTTGAAAAAAAATATAAATAACTTATCTACATTCATTTTAAAAATATTAAAGCCTTAAGAAATATATAAGAACCATTGGAATCATTTGTAAGAGGGGACATATTTTTTTATTTTTTTTGGTAGATAGAGAGGACGGAGTTTAAAAGTATTAAATTAGATATATTTTAAAAATAATTCAATCCTTTTTTAACAAAATGATATGTATGATTATGAATTTTTAAAATAAATAGATATATTTTTTAAGGGATGTTATAGTTATTATATCTTATTAAATTTTAACTGTTGATTTTTATTATTTTAATAATTATAATTTATTAAGTCGAATTTATTAATTAATTATTAATTTTTAATAAATTATAACTTTTAAAAAATCAGCGATTTAGATTTAATAATAAAAAAATATATATAACAGTGCATCAGCAATAAGGGAGGGGAGGGGGGAGTCAAAGGCGCGCACACATGTACATGGCGCCATTAGGAGGCAGTTGCAAGAAAATGACGTGTCCAGCGAATCAAAATTGTACTCCTCCTTTATTTTTAATAAACTTACGTTATATATTTACAACTGGAGCAAAATCAATCCCGTTGCTATTTTATTCCTAAAAAAAAAAAAAAAATTCCGGAAACGCGCTTCAGTTTTTTGACTCTTCAGGTAGGGGACAACATATGAATGGCATGAGACATGTGAGCTGATGTAATACTACTTGCCTATTCTGTCTGTGCATCTGAACCCTTCCAATATCGGTTATTAAGGGTTGGATGAAGTCATGACCAATTAATACTTTAATTGTGCAAGTTGAGAAGTGGCAATCTTCCCACAGGTGCTGATGCTAATTGCATCCGTTGAACACCAAGTTGAGTTGCTAGTTGCTACCCTCTGATGCATGACCTTTTTCAGGTTAGAGGAATCGATAGGACTATGGCCCACAAAATTCACCGGCCATATCAATGTGACATTGGCACCTAATTGAGTTGCCACAACCGCCAAAACGCCACCAAAACAGAGGTAACAACCACCGTCATTACGTTGTTGGTTGTTCCGTCCACATTTCCTCCCGAGATGTCCACAGCCATTGGGTTTTGTCCGTTCCCTGATTTGATATAACTGCATTCAAATTCAAACATCCATTTTAAATACAATTGCAACTCAAATCTGAACGCAAAATCTAGCTAACACAATAAGCGATTGCACACGGAACGTGTTTTTGACACGATAGTGCATCTATTAAAAATAAAAATAAAAATAAAAAAAATCTTGTTTACCAATTAATTTGACAAAAAAGAAACGTGCCAACCATGTCTATTGTGATACCGCACCAATAACTGGTCCCTTATTTGACATTCAACCAGTTCAACAACAATATTCGTCTGTCCGAAAACACGTTTTAACAAATAAGAATTTCAATCAATTAATTTATTAAATATTTAAGAAACTAAAAAAGTGAAATTACCTTGCGGAGGGTGTGGGGCAAAAAGTGATGGTATAATCAGCAGAGGCACAGGTGAAGGTGCTGGAGCCATCGTCATAGGCGTAACTGTAAGCGCGTGGGCATGCACTCTTGAAGAACTGCGAGTAGGAGCTGGGCTTGCATGTGTCAGGTGACGCATAAGCGCCACTGCAGCAATACTGCGGATCCCCGAATGCTTCGCACGCGCTTTTACACGCCACGCCCTCATCACCGTTACTCATCACCTTCAACTCCGTCGGACACGCAGAGTTCAAATCCACCACGCAACCCGTCGCAGTGCAGTTCCCGCCTCCAGTTCCGCCCTGAGGCTCCACAATCATGGGCAGGTTGTAACCGTCCACGAGGCTGACGTCGAAGAAATCGAGCCCGCCGGCGCCGTTCAGTGTGAACTCCGCCAGCGTGGCAGGCGGGGCGGCGTTTCCGCCTGCGCATTCTACGGCGGAGGAACCACAGTCGCCGGTGACGCAGGAGAATTTTCCGGTTGAGTCCTGGGAGCAGAGGGTGCGGCCCCAAAGGCGGCCGGACCAACCGGAGGGCACGGGGACGGCGTTGGACTCGCCTGGTTGGAGTGCAAAGCCGGTGATGGAGAGCGGTGCTGTTCCGGCGCCGGATAATAATCCCGGCCAAACTGTGTAGCTGCACTTGTTGACGATTGTGAATGTCGCTGAATTCGAACCTGTCCAACGTTAAATACAACATAAATCTTTAATAACAAGTGAAGTAACATTTAACCAAAAAAAAAAAAAAAAAAACCTAGGAAAATAACACGAAACGATATGTTACTATAAATGGTCGTCACCTCTAAGGAATTGGAAGAGAAATATAGTGACGAAAGTGGTAACAAATTTAATTGAAGCAGCCATAGTTGAGAAAATGGCAAATTAGGAAGGAATGAGATATAAAAACTGAATAAATTGGTTGCTATTGTTGAAGGGTATTTGAAAATTGGGTAGGATGATTGTTGGGAGGGAAGTGAATATATAGAGATTAAAGGTGGGGCCATGCACATTTGTGGGGTCAGAAGCCCATAGGGCATAGGGTATGGGTCAGGTCTAACTTTAACCGTGCACATGCAGAAAAAATATAGTATATTATGATTGTATTTACAACCGACCAATAAAAGTGTTTTACATCAATTAATATATTTCTCAATTAAAAAAAATAATTTTGATATATTTTTAATTGCCCTCGTATTCAGTAGGCTAGTATTGGAAATGCTCTCGCACATGCAAGCAAGCATAAACCGCCACTGTTGAGGTCGGCGGGTTTTTGCAATTTGCATAGGATCTGGATCGAAGGAACCTATTTATAAAGGGTTTATCATCTATCATTTAACATGACCACAAAAATTTTCCTACACACACAACATTTTGTGGGGCCCGTAGCAAAAAAAAAAAAAAAAACTCTGGCACGCAAAACGAATCTCTATAACATAACACAATCACTTTTCCTACAACATAACTCTTATAAAACCCATTTATAAAATGACAAAAATTATAAAGATGCAGGTTTTTGAAGGAATCGACAACAGTGCTGACACTCTGACAGGACCCGAGGCATGGAAGAAAGCTTGAATTGGAGCTTTTAAAAGGACGGCTACGAATTTACATACGAGGAAATATATGAATAATGTTGAATAAGGTCTTGGAGACTCGTCCATTTCAAGTATAATCATTTTTAAGTAACGTGGGAACAGAGGTTGAAGTCAAGGTGAGGTCATCATTTTATGACTGAGCAGTTAAACATAAGGCAGAGGCAGTAGTATCAATTCCATGTGATTTTCTTCCCTCTTCAGAGTTATTCTTCACGGTTGCCATCAACCCTGTGATATCACATGCGTTCTGCATTGAATTTTATAAATTATATATTCCATTTTTCAGTTAAAATAGTATTCTTGTTTCTTGTACCACGAGAATCATTGGTAAAAAAGCTTGTGATAACTTTTTATGGAAATAAATAAAGCGAAACTTTTATAAATAAATACATAAAAACAGATCAACAAATTAAAAATATTTGAAAATATTTTTACCAATCAATCCATTCATTTTTGGAATAAGCGACATTAATAGATTTTTTTTAAAAAATAACAAATATTTGTAAGTTCGGGCCTTGTGTTTCTTCATTTGACTTGAATGCAAAAGCAGCCCAGAAATGAAAATACAGGTCGATTGAAGTAGAACTATACTCCAGCCCATATTTGGTTATAATCCTTAACCCAATATTGGAGCGTACAAAAATATGTAATAAAGAAGCTTCTTTGTTATGGAGATTCTACCTGTCTAGCTCGTCGATGAATTGATAGGAGAAATCTCAAAAAATAAATAAATAAATCGTTTGCAAAACCCGAAGAAAGGGAAAAAAAAAATCTTGAAATAGACAAATAATCATAAAGACTATAAGATGTCAAAACCAACTTGTTAAAGGAATTAAAATTAAAATAGAAATATAACATTCACAGAGTTGCAAGAAACCAAGTTGATTGTATCTGCATTCAGTTGTGGGCCGATAATCATTAACTTCAAGTGGCTACTTCACAATCCAATGCCTTGTGAATAAACAAAAGGACAAAGACAGGCAATAACATGGCCATACCTCAAGCCTCAAGGGCCGAAATATCCGACCATTGGCCACAGCTAAAACCAAAGGTACACGACAAACCTGTCGTACCAAGACCCTAATCCTATGTTTGAGATAACATAAAAAAAATAAAATGAAGTCTCATCTTCAATTATTGACAAGGTGCTTGAATTCATGCTCAAAATAGATTTCGTCCACTTGATTATATTTAACCTTGTTTCCTGTATATTTATTTATATTTGGTGATTCTGTCACATACCTCAAATGTTACTTTATATGTTCCATAGAGACTTGCAACTAACATTTTTATTAAAAAGGATGTGAGCTGACATGGCAACATATAGAAAAACCCAAACTATATGCAGTGGGACCTATTGATTGCACTCAAAATATTCCAGGATTCTAAGTAAAGCCGGCGGTGCTTATGTTCAATCGTGTAAATATTGTAATTTCATTATATTATAAAAAGTGACACTTGCTCAATCAACCACTGAAATGCATGTGGGAAGGAATTTTTCAAAGGCCAAATTGCAATCATTAGCTTTCTTCTTCTTCCATATGGTTTTAGTGCCTTCCTCAACATATCAGTACTTCCATCTCAATCCACTAAATGTAAATAAGAACCGTTGATTCAGTCCAAGGTCACACTCCAAAGACATGGTCCTTGGACTAAGTAGTAGACACAAATTTAAGTCTTAATCGTATTCATAAAAGGGGAATACTTCACAGTTCACAGTCTCACATGAACTCAATCCATACACACATGAAACTTCAAAATCATGATCAGATGGTTATATTGACAATTTTTTTTTCTTACAAATTTTCAAACTACGCTAAGTTTGACCGGTTATACATTCATGATTATGACTGGTCGGACATAGTGTAATTTATAAGAGTTTGTAAACAAAAAATTTATAAATATAACATTCTGCTCAATAATAACCTCTTAGTCCAAAACACTCAGGATATGAAATTTTAAAAGCTCTAGAACAAGAAAAGGAAATTTCATAAAAAAAGGTCTACCACGTCTCTTGGAGAAATGACCAACATTTAATAAATCTGATTTGAAAAAACCTAGAACCATGAGTTTATTAAAATATTATATCAAAATCTACATAAATAATTTTTCATCAAGGGGATAGTTCATTCAAACTACATATATACTACCGAATCTTCATAAAAGATAAATTTAGGAAATTGGCAAAATGAAGTTGGCTTCATGTATATTGCATGACCCTCAAAATTATTTCTCAAAGGCTGTTGCAATGAAAGTTGTTCCTGAGCAAAGGTAAAAAAATTTCATCATAGAAAAATTACAGGGGTGTAATCTATATCTACAGAAAGCAGGAGGGATGGATGATCAGTGGATCTTGATATATGTGCAAGTGAACAGAAATTAGTAGACTTCAACATTCCATTGCTCTGCCTTCTTTAGTTGCCTCTTGTACTCAAGCCAATCGATACCTACAGTACATAAAAGAACACAACATGATGAATAAAGTTTCTTTGATTCCATGATGTAGCAAAAGGAAAATGTTTTCTTACCATCTTTAGCAGCCAATGACACCATTATGTCATCAATACCCTTCTCCATCCCTTTAAGTCCACACATGTAGACATAAGTGTTATCTTTCTTTAGTAATTCCCATAGCTCTTCTGCATATTGAGCCATTCGGGTTTGGATGTACATCTTCTCTCCTTTTTCATTTGTTTGCTCTCTGCTCACAGCAAAGTCAAGCCTGAAGTTGTCAGGTGTTTTCTCCTTCATCTTTTCAAATTCCTGTCCCATACCATTAGAGTAGTGAGAAAAGTGAGAGACCATATGGTTGATGTTCCTGAATAGTGAGAAAAGTTTGATTCATCTCACCTCCTTATAAAGCAGTGAACTGCTTGTGGGGACACCCAAGAAGAGCCATGCCAAACCATTGAACTGCTTATGCCAAAACTCGGTTAATCATCTAATATGGTCACGTACAAACCCATTTCAGACAATACTAAAGGAGTCACATTATTTGCCTATGCTTACTAGGTAAATAAAATTTGTCGCTCTTTAAAAGATCCGTAAGATAAATGTTTGTATGTTAGTTGCAATAAAATAGAGCGCCTTATGGTTGTGAATTTTTATGGTTACATAAATCACTCAGTAGTGATTTCCCCTGCTACATCTCTTTCCATAGAACCTTTGAGTACATTTAATCAAGTTACTGTTATAGTAGTGTGATTTATGCACACTATGCATTACAGCTTGTGCTCCTGGTTCAAGCTAGATTCATAAGAATCAAGAAGGATGTAACTTTTGTCGTAAACTTGCCTTGTAATCTTCATGCTTCTCGAAGAACATTTTCCATAGAAATGAGCGAAATGGGGCAATTCCAGTTCCAGTTGCCAACTATGAAGAAAATTTAAATGATCAATGGTAATGGTGAAAATCAAAACAACTATCATGACTACATAAAGGGCTCAAATATTCCTCTCTCTTTTTCTTTTTAAATTAAGATGAAGACAATTAGGTAAAGTACCATGATGACGGTGGCATTAGGATCTTTTGGCATAAGCATTTCTTTACCAACAGGTCCAGTAATCTTTACTTCAGCTCCTGGCTTCAAGTCGCCTGAATAAAAAGGGCAAGAAGCAATTGGTACTAAAGGTAAAAAATTTATAATTCTATTCATGAATAAAATGATTCAACCTCTACTATAAATTTAAAAATTATATAAAAATTGATCTCATCGTGTAATAAGTAAGATTTTTATTTAATATATTATCTTATACACATTTATAAAAACTTTGATACTGTTAGAAGGTAAAAGAGAAATACATTTATTTTTAATTGATTACTATAAATAAAATATTATCTATATCTCTAATAGTTACATCTTATGTTAATTTTATTACTATAAATAAAATAAAAATAAAATATCCATGAAACATTCAAAATTAAATCAATATTATTCACATATTCTTCTTATTACAACTTGCAAAAATAAGATTCAAAGAAAGAAATTTATAAATAAGTAAATAAATAATACTTAAAGGGTATTTAATGATTTATTTTATTTTATTTTTCTCTATTCAAATTTAAGCAATAAAGTATGTATTTTTTATTTTTTAAAAGTCAATGAAATCGGGTAATATGTATTTATTGTGTTCTCTTTCTGCTTTAAATACGTGACTTAACTGTCATTTAACAGTTTTTTATAATTCTCAAATTACTAATTACTTTAAAATTTTATTTTCTGTGTTAAATTTCTTCTGTCTTCTTAAATCTCAAATAATTATTCTATTAAAATAAATACTTTCAAAAAAATTTAAGTTGAAATTTTGCTTTTCTTCTCAAACCTCTACTAATTATACTTTTCAATTTTTTTATATTAAAACTTACGTTTTCTCTTTAAATCTCGCCTATTCCACACCTATGTATTAAATTATAGTACAGTATTATGAGAGTGAGCTAATATTTTTTCTACTCTTCCTTAAAAAAAATGACACGTCATTCTTAATATCTACTCCTTTAAATTTTAAATGGGCGTTACTTTTCTCGAGTCACATATGATAACCACGGTTCCTACAGATACATAAACACATGGGTCCTACCATTTTTTTTCAAAAAAACAAACAAAAAAATATGGCACAAATTTCGATCCATCAGTAGGAATGGAAATATACTTTCCTGCAATTTTCCATTTTAAATTTACATTCTTTTGAATGAATTATGGGAAATACTACTCTCATTTTACATGAGGTAGTTATCTCATTTTCTCTCACATCAAAAATTGCACCCCTTCTTTTTTTTTTCTTTTTAATGGTGGACCCCACTTAAACTCTCTCTATAGTATGAGATAATACTCTCATGTAACATAAGATTAATATTCCCCATGAATTATATATGGCAAAATTGATTCTCATGTTACAAAATTTAACTATCTCCTGTCACTTTCAATTTGTAAAACGTGCCTAACTTTTTTTTTTTCCAACAAGCTGATAGGACCCAGCTTGTTTCTATCAACAATAAAAATCGATTATCTACTTTGGCAGAAGAAAAACAATGCCCATTATATATATATATGAGAATGTTTATCTCCTTTTATCTAAGATAATAATTTATTTCTGCAAAGATAATAAAGTGGAGTCAGCAATTAATTTTTTTTTAAATAAAACAAAAATATGGCGCAAAAATGAATTCTTATCTTATGTCAAAGAAAAAAGTATTTCTCATATATATATATATATATTCATTATAATTTAAAATAAATAAATCTCTTTTAATATACAATGTTCAGATTTTACCAGATTTATGTATGCATACGTTACATATAGTTTCAGACGTTTTTTTTAATTTTTTTCTTTAATTTATACTCTTTGAAAAATTTCTAAATGCAGAGTACTTGCTAGTATTATATAAAAACTAAAATGATTCATCCTTACACAAGAAATTCGAGCAGACTCCCTTAACAAGTTCTCCATTTTCATTTGTGTACACAAGACGTTTCACGCAAAGAGAAACCTGCGTGAAGCCTGAATCAGATAGCAAATAAACTGAAGTCCTGGCTAAGGAAGAGATATTTATTAAGCATATAAATGAGGATTTTATACTCTCAAGTCTCAAAATCATTTGGGTGGACAATGGACAATAGTTTGTAACTGGGGTCAACACTCAACAGTCAACTATGAATGACACAAAAGTTAAAAAAGCTCTTTAAACTATTAAATTCCAATTTCCAGCAACAATAATATAAAGAATGAATAGCACTATTAGTTCTCCAAATTAAGACTCACAGTTTTGGAGTCTCCAAAATCACCAAGGGCACTGCTAGCAATTGAATACAATCTCAGCTTGTGAGGCTTGCCATTCTTGTCAATGCCATCTGGAATTACCCCAATTGATTGTCCTTCTCTGTAAGGAACCTCTCCTAAAAAATTACAAATATTAGTTTCTTCTTCTTCTTCTTTTTTAAGCTCAAAACACTATTTTTATTTTTATTTTATCAGCAATCCATGTTATGTGTAGTGATTAGTGAAGGGAAAAAATGAAAAAATAGAGAGAAAATGCATAAGCACTCACCCTCAGTGCTGAAGACCATGTGCCAAGTTTCTCCAGGTGCATCATCCCCAGTGATCTTTGTGTTGAGAAGACACCTACCAATGTATGTGATACAGAGTAATTCTCTGTAACAGAAGGAAGCACCACATATGTAAGAAGAACAAGTGTATTCTATATTTCCAATCTCCCGACATCTGTTACAACATGCATTACTTATATGTCTCAACTAACTATTGCCACGTAAGCCTAACTACCCACGTGGGAGGACCACTACTTGAGTCATTCACATGTATACAACTCCTACATTATTAATCTATGACTAGTGAATGTAATCTATTGCCCAAGATGGGCAACCTTTAATCCTAGCCTTTCTGCTTTGTACACCAGCTGCTTCTGCTTCTCTAACATCAGCCCTCTCTTCGACAGCAACCTTGTCCTCAAGGTTGAGGGTTGGGTATGTCCTACGAAAAACAGTGACATCTTCCCAAGTGGCATCCTCTGGGACTGTAGCTGACCACTGAACCAAGTACTGATGATGTGGTTTACCTCGCAACTGCACATGCCGTGAAGCCAGCAATGCTATAGGTTGTTGGACTGGCCTGTTGTCCCTACTTAATTCAGGAAGAGGCTCACAACTTACATCCGTAGAACCAAAAAATGGTTTCAAGAGTGATACATGAAAAACTGGATGTATCATACTAGATTCAGGTAACTGCAGTTTATAAGCTACTGCACTAATCACTTTCTCAACCATATAAGGGCCAAAATAGCGCTTGGCAAGCTTGTGATTGGCTCGCCGTTCTACTGACATCTGTCTGTATGGTTGTAGGCGAACCAATACTCTATCTCCCACCTTAAATGTCCTATCCTGCCTATTTTTATCAGCTTGTTGTTTCATTCTGGCCTGAGCTCGAGCCAAATTCACTTTCAGGTGATCAACCACTTCTTGCCTCTGTTGCAACATCATATCGACAGCTTCAATATTGACCTCTCCTTGGTGGTAGCGAGGAATTAAAGTTGGTAACTTCCCATAAACAGCCTGAAAGGGTGACATGTTAATGGAAGAATGGACCGAAGTATTGTAATGTAATTCTGCCCAACAAAGCAATTGAGACCACTTATGATTCTGCTCAGAACAAAAGGCCCGTAAGTATTGTTCTACATAACGATTGGTGACTTCCGTTTGGCCATCCGTTTGAGGATGATAGGACGAACTCGCATGTAATTTGGTGCCACTAAGTTGAAATAGGTGACGCCAAAACTTACTCATGAACACTGCATCCCTGTCTGAAACCAAAGACTTGGGAAATCCATGAAGCTTAACAATCAATTCACAGAAAAGTTGGGCAACAGTAGCAGCTGTGTAAGAAGATGGGAGGGACCCAAAGTGTCCATACTTAGACAATCTATCAACCACAACCAGAATAGTAGTGTACCCATTTGAACGAGGAAGAGATGTTATAAAATCCAGTGTCAAGTCATCAAACATTGCATTGGGAATGGGCAATGGTTGTAATAACCCAAATGGCACTTGGGTAGAACTTTTAATGTGCTGACAGGTAACACAATCACGGATAAACTGTTTAACATCCCTGCGCATATTTTTCCAAGTAAAAGAAGCAGATAAACGCAAAAAAGTGCGTTGGATACCAGCATGGCCTCCCAGTGGTGTACAATGAGCTTCATATAATAATGAGGGACGAAGGGAAGAATTCGAACTAAGCAAACATCTGTTATTGATAAAAAGCATACCATCTCTGCGCAGAATGTCAGGATTGTTAAGCGTGTCATTATCCAGGGCTGTATGGATATCCAATAACTCCTTACTTATTTTGTTCTCTTGCTTGACCAGCTCCCAAAGATCCAAGGTCGGTTCTGAGCACAGTGCATGCATCACAGCTGTATCTCCCTCAAAAAATTGTCTAGACAAAGCATCTGCCACGACATTGGAAATGCCGGATTTATATTCTATTGTGAAACTATAGCCCATCAACTTGTACACATATTTTTGTTGGTCTGCCGTTTGAATAGTTTGATGCAACAATTCCTTTAAGCTTTGATGATCAGTTCTAATAATAAAATGAGAGCCAAGCAGAAAATGACGCCAACGTTTTATAGCTTCTGTGAGTGCATATAGTTCACGGACATAAGCAGAGGAAGCTGCCATCCTTGGGCCTAACTTTTTGCTGAAGAAGGAAATTGGTTTACCCCTTTGTAACAACACAGCACCTATTCCCACATTTGAAGCATCTGATTCCACGATAAAGGGTGAAGAGAAATCGGGTAACTGTAAAACTGGTGTAGATGCCATAGCTTCCTTCAAAGCTGTGAATGCAACAGTTGCCTCCTTACTCCAATGAATCTTATCTTGCTTCAACAATTCTGTCAGTGGGTGAGCTATGGCAGCATAACCTTTGACAAACCTTCTATAGTATCCAGTTAGGCCAAGAAATGCTCTCAATTGCTTGATAGATTGAGGAATTGGCCAATCAAGCATAGCCTCAATTTTCTTGGGATCAGCCTTTACCCCGCAAGCTGTCACTACATGGCCAAGGTAAGAAAGCTCCTCCACACCAAACGCACACTTGCTAAGCTTAACATAAAAAGAATTATGCAACAAACATTTGAGTGCAGTTTCCAAATGAGTAACATGCTCCTCCAAAGAAGGGCTGTATATCAGTACATCATCAAAAAATACCACAATGAATTTCCTCATATATGGTCGAAAGATCCTATTCATGGCAGCTTGGAATGTGGCTGGGGCGTGGGTGAGACCAAAGGGCATGACCTTAAACTTATAGTGCCCTTCATGAGTTCGAAAGGCTGTCTTATGTATGTCTTCCGATTGCATCCGTATTTGATGGTACCCTGAATGCAAATCCAATTTGTTGAATATCCTTGCATGATAAAGCTCATCCAATAGCTCATCTATTGTGGGAATAGGAAAAGCATCCTTCACTGTCATGGAGTTCAAAGCACGATAATCAACACACATTCTCCATGTGTTATCATGTTTCTTAACCAACAACACTGGAGATGAGAAGGCACTGTGGCTCTGCTGAATCCATCCAGTAGATAATAATTCCCCAACTTGCTTTTCTATTTCAGCTTTGTGATGATAAGGATACCTGTAAGGCTTAACCTTAACAGGCTTTGAATCATCCAGTAATTGGATGGCATGAGCTCTATCTCGAAAAGGAGGCAAGGACTTGAGCAGGAATTTTATCTTTCAACAGATGAAGATCAGAAAGTACCTGAGAGTCAATGTTGTGCAACTCTGGAACTGAAAGTGCATGACAGGAAGTTTCTAGCAAATGTAGATCACCACCCTTAGAATCTGCAGTGATTTGTCTAGAATTGGTTTTCAACCCTTCTAACAGAATCAACTCCTTATTCCAAGTAAACTCCATTGAGAGCTCAGCATAATTGTGAATCACACTGCCCAAAATGATTAGCCATTTCATGCCCAAAACTATGTTTAGGTCACATAAGTCCACAACAAACAAATCTACCGCAAAGCAATGGCCCTGTACCTAGAGTTTCACTTGAGGACATTTCTTTTCACAACTTAAAAATTCGCCATTCCCCATAAACACTCTCATTCTAGTGGCCTTGACCATTGGTAAGTTCAGCTCTTCAGCTAAATGTCTTCGTATAAAACAATGGGAACTGCCTGAGTCAACCAGCACTTGCACTTCTCGAGTGCCAACTATAGCTAGCAAGGTCAAAGAACGAGCATCAATCTTCCCAGATAAGGAATGTAAAGCAGCATCCACTCTACTGCCTGGAGTTTCTTCTTTTCGCCATAAGATCTCCTCATCCATTTCACTATCTGACTCCTCTTCATCAACGATCAAGAGCAACATTTTTGCCTTACACCTATGTTTTGAATTCCATTTTTCATCACATGTATAGCATAAACCCAAATCTCTCCTCTTTTGTAAAGCATCCGAAGACATTTTCTTTATTGGCAAGTCGGTTGTAGCTGGTAACGCAAGTGGCTTTTCAACTGTGCTTGTTGTGTAAGGTTTAGAGAAAAACTTCTTTGGTAGATTTGAGATAGAGGAACATAATTCCCCATGATGACTGTCATAAGCAATGGCTAACTGCATCGCTTGATGAAGTGAAGATGGCCAACGAAGTTGGACTACTCCTTGAATGTCCGGTTGTAAACCAGCCACAAAAAATGTCATTAAGAGATCATCACTGACATTGGAAACTTGATTCACCAATCTTTGGAACTCCGCCATGTAATCTGCTAAAGATCCTTTCTGCAACAGCTTAGCTAATACGCCACGAACATCCTTGTAATTGGATGGTCCAAAGCGCTCACGAACTGCACGAACAAATTCCTACCAAGATTGAACGGTTCCACCATTGAAGATTCATTGAAACCAATCAGCTGCCACACCTTCCATTCTCAAACCCGCGAGTTCCACTCTCATCTGTTCTGGAACCTGTTGAATTTTGAAAAATAATTCAGCCTTGAAGATCCAAGAATTAGGTTCCTTACCATCAAATTTAGGTATCCCTGGTTTCACAAACTTTAAGACATGTCTAGGATCATCGGTACTCCAAGAAGCATTCTGAGAAACACGATTATGTTGAGGGGGATCAGGTTTAGAAGTACTCTCAGAAGATGATCTTGCAATCTGAGGTAAAATTTCCTTGAAATTGCTCTGCAATTCTTGAAACCTAGCCTCCATGGAGATCAAAAGTTGCTCAATCCTTTAATTATTTTGATTGTTCTGCTCACGATATTGCAGAAATTCATCAGCCAGCTCCTGCATCTTCATCTTTCCTTGCATGCAGAAATGAAGGTCGTTGAATCCACAGTAATGAAGGCACCAATGATACACCAATGATACAGAGTAATTCTCTGTAACAAAAGGAAGCACCAATATGTTAAAGAAAGACAAGTGTATTCTATATTTCACAATGAATCGACATCTGTTACAACATGCATTACTTACATGTCTCAACTAACTATTGCCACGTAAGCTTAACTAACCACGTGGGAAGACCACTAATTGGGTCACTCAAATGTATACAACTCCTATATTAGTAATCTATTACTAGTGAATGTAATCTATTGCCCAAGATGAGCAACCTTTAATCCTAGCTTTTCTGTTTTGTACATCAGCTACTTCTGTGTCTCTAACATTGCATAATTATTTTCCACCATACAAAAAGGAAAGATCCTACTCCCTGTCACTGTCAGGACTTTGGACTTGAACCAAGAAAAAGTAAAAAATAAATAAATAACAGGAAACGTACACACATTGATAAAAGATACTAAATTAAGTGATCAAGTATACTCATAGTCTCAATACTGTTCCAACCATTCAAATGTAAAACCCCTGTTACAATGGAACAGTCAACAATTGGAACCTAAGTTTTACAACAGAAAAGTTTATTTAATTTTATTTTTTTTTGAACTCGGATGATATTAACTTCAGAGAGTTAATTTCATCAGAAAAAATAATATAACCGGATTCTGAACAGAAAAGCATACAATGGTGTGTATATATATATATATATATATATATATATATATATATATATATATATATAGCACAAGGTCACAAATTCTTTAGGACTACATTTGTGACACCCAAAACTTTGTATTCTAATTACACTACAAATTCATACATACACATAAGAATCAGTAGTACCATTTTTACCATCACTTTCGGCCACCATTTGATCCACTGCTTCCATTAAACAAATCGCTAAGCCGAGCTTCAATGTCCTCCACACCAAACTTGATATACTTATCAGCATGCTTTCCAAGATCAGGAACATTCTGGAACCTTCCAATGAAGCTTCCATATGCAGGCAATAAGATCTTTTCTAGGGAGATCCTTATTTCTTCCTTGAGCTGCTCATCAAAGACAAACCATTGAGACTGAACCCTACATATCTCCTCAAAATGCAAGTTGAACAACTTGAGCTTCTCTTTCATAGGCTTTGCAGCCATTGAGCCATTGTTATTCTCCACTTTGAGAAACCCCAGCAACTTGTTCCATGAGCTTCTTTGATAGCTCACATGGCATTGCCGGACTTTTGCAGTGTGTTTTCGGATCCAATCGTCACCCAAAAGGGTTCCCAATTCGCTATCTTTGGCCTTCTGAACAATGTACCTCCCATTATTCATCATGAAAACAGAGCACAACGCAGGGTCCTTATATATTTTCGATTTTGCTTCCAAATTTCGTTCTAACAACTCCATAATCCAAGCAATTTGGACAGATAACGAAGAATTTGGTTGCAACTGGAAAACTAGTTCTAGGGTTTGGCGGGAGCGACATGCGGCGCGGAGGTAGTTCATCACGTAACGGGTGATCGGATGAAGCCCGCCGCCGGGAACCGCCGCCTTTGCCGGATCTCGGCCAATCAGATTCTCCAATTCCATGAAAATTCCTCTGATTGCTTCACCTAACCTCTTCCAAATTGTGATAGCTTCGTTGACGAGGAACGCGCAGTACTGATCGGAGAACAGGGATTCAAATTCAGGAATTAGGTCACGCATTGTCTCGAACACGTCGAGGACTCTGAACAACCGCTCCGGCGAGCGGCTTCCGATAGCGACCGCGTCAGCGAAGTTCAGAAGCTGAATTGCCGATCCGCGGCAGACCTCCATGAAGGAGAGTTCGGCAGCGGCGGAGGAAGAGAAACCGGAGAAGACGCGATCGCAGAGACGCCGCTCGCTGGGGAAGAGGATCCTGAGAGCGACGTTGGAGCCCTTGTTCCATCGCTCGATCTCGTCTTCGAGATCCTGCCATTGCATCTTGTGAACCTCCGAAATGCTCAGCTTCTGCAACCCTAACCTCGACAAGCTCTCCTCCAAGAACTCCCTCCGGCAACCGCCGTACACGCGCGTACACTCCTTCCCGAACCCAGCCGCAACCATTCGCTTCGCGATCTCGCGGAGATCGTTCACCGTCCCCGGCGGCAGCGCATCAATCACCACGTCGAAATCGGCCACCGGGAGAGCTACCGGAATCAAATCCTCATCGCCGTCATTATCTTCTTCGCCTTCGTTGTCGTCGTCGGAGTCAAACAACGAGTCTTCTTTCCGATTTGACTCGCCGTTGTTCCGAGTCAGGTCGAATGACTCGCTGCCGAGTTCCATGAGAGAGCGGAACTCGTCCTCGGCGCGGAACATGGCCTGCTGGAGCATCTCTTCAGCGCGTAGGAGACACGCGCCAACGGTCTTATCATCGGCGAGGGGGCTCCAGTCATTGACGGTAGCGACGAGCTCGTCAACGGCGTCGAGGAAGGAGGCAGATTCGGCGGAGTTCGACCATATGGGTTGATCGGAGGACACGTGGAGTGAAATCCGACGGTCGAGAGAGTTAAGTGTTTGTTCGAGTGCGACGCAGCCCAGGGGATCATTGCCTGCACCCTCTTCCGATAGCTTCTCCTTTGAGAATCTACCATCGAAGTTGGAGAATATTTGGAGGATATCATCGGCCATGTTGTTGTTGTTGTGGCCTAGCGTCTTTGCTATGTGCCGCGCCACAGCGAGTAACTTCTCTTCGCCGTTTTCAGCCATTTCGGTAACAGCCGAGTGAGTTTAGTGAACGCTAACACACGCAGTTCGTGAAGAAGAAGAAGAAGCAGAGGTAGAAGCTAAAGAGGGAGGAAGTTGCTTATTTGAAGGTTGAGGACGGAATGACGAATATATCCTTAGAAAAACGCGGTTTCCGGTAAAAAAAAAGTGAAGTAGAGAAGGGTGTAGCAGGGAAAATAGAGAGGACAAGACAAAAGAGGATAAAGTACAAAGAGAGAGAGTGTGAAGGGACGTGACGGCAACGTGGAAAGAGCTTTTTGCAGCTTTTTCTGTCTTGTCTCTTTCAGTGTCTTTTTTTATAATTTATGTCGTTCATGGAAACTTCTTAGTTCTCTTACGTGTTTTCTGACTGGACTTACATACCAATTTAAAAATTGCAAAAGTTGGATGAAAAATAAACACCTGAGCCTCGAGAATTTGATGGATTTTTTGGGACAGTGACCAAAATGTCATGCTTTGGCAAAAAAATTATCAGAATATCACGTGAATAATAAAAAAATTTAAATTGCCACGCGGCATAATTCACTACACAGTGTAGCGAATTATACGTCAGAATGCACAGAACCAAAAAGTGTCATGTGTGTCATATGGCACTTTTTGGTTCTGACGTGACATATTTTACTACACTGTGTAGCGAATTACTTGCATGCATAAATTGCTACACTCTGTAGCTAATTATGCCGCGTGCCAGTTGGTCAAAATTTACTGTTGACGTGGCAGTCTGGTAATTTTTTGTCCAAACGTGACAAACTAGTCACTGTTCCGGATTTTTTTGCATGTTAAAAGTCGAAGTGAACATAATAACTCCTCATATGTGTTTTTTTTTCTTTTTTACCCGTCTATTGTTATAAAAGAAAAATTACTCCGTTATTTTTTTTTTGGATTTATTTTTCAATTTTGGTCTGATAATAGGTTTTAGTGGGATCCAGTTGCCCCTGTGATAACGCGATTAATCCTATAGTCTGTCACAAATTCAATTTTCTCTCTCATTAATATCCTCTACTTTATATAAATATTAATTAATATTTACTATTTAAGACGATATATAACAATTATTATTGGAAGGGGTTATATTTACATCTCAAATAGTTTACAAACTCTTACAATTATATCTTAATCGTTGATAACGGTTGTCATTTATTGTCAATTAATAATTAATTAATAAATTTAATTTGCGAAAACCTTAACCGTTGATTGACGGAAATCAACGGTTAAGATATGGTTGTAAGAAGTTGTAAACAAAAATAAGTTGTAAGTCCATTATTATTATTTTGAAAATAAGAATCAAATTTATCGAGTTAAATAATTCTTATTATCTAAATAATCTTTTCAAAAAAGGTAAATTAATAATATATATATATATATATATATATATAAAGAATTGAATAGTAAATTATATATGATGTCATTAATGTTTTCGCTTTTGTAATTAAAAAGAAAAATTTGCCACTAAAAGTGAATGGGTATGAGATGCACTTATTTTTATGTGAGTATAATAGAAAAAAACTTATACAACAAAAAAAAATATTTTTTCCATATAACAAATATAAAAATATATATAGATTAAATTATTGTGTAAGTCTTTATACTTTTACTACTTTTTTTTAGTAAGTTATTTCAATTTAAAAATATGTAATTTGGCTATTAAACATAAAATTTAGAAAAAAACTTTAAAAATTCCTGTAAGTTTTTTCTTGAATCATTTACCCATCTCCTCAAAATTTTAAATTATTTGCATCTTTGTTGAAAGTTTTTTTTATCACTTATCTTCTAACTTAATTTTTCATTCAAAAATAAAGTTAAAGTAGTTAATTTTTTAAAAAAATATTTTAACTATATTTTCACTCAACCACATTCGATTTTATTAACTGTTGAAATTTAACTTGAATTTTAGTAGGTTGGAAATCTTTTATACAAACACTTTCTCTGTTGTTGTTTTTTTGTTTTAAGGGTAGTTTTAGTATTTTATTAAAAAATTAACTCTATTAACTTTAGCTTTGGGTGAAAAATCAAGTTAGAGAATAAGTGATAAAAAAAACTTTATATATTGGAGTAAATGATTAAAAAATTTGGAGAGAGGATAAATTATTTTAAAAAATCTTACAGGAAAATTTTAATTAAGTTAACTAACTAATGATTAAATTATATTAACCTTACGTAAATTATGATAACCAACTTAAAATTTCAGATATATTAAAAATACTTACTTTAATAACAACACATTTTTTTTATATAAATAAAAATTAAACATATAATTTAATATAACTTATTCAAATCCCTTATCTGTAAACCAATTCTAATAACTTCTGGCAACACATTTTCGAAGTCCTTATAATTTATTTGAGTTTTTTTCAAAACTGAAACGCAAGTCGTGTATAAGCATGGTTATTAAAATCTCAATTTTTCATTATGATTTTATGTTTTTATGATATTTTTTCATCAAAATAATTTTACCAATATTCCAAACGCTTTTATATTTTTATGATTTTTTTACATTATAAATTTACGTTTTACAATTTTTTTAACTTTCTTTCAATTTTACTTAAAATTTCAATTGTAACAACCTTGTTTACACGGCTAAGTCCACCTTAATTGGCCATTTGTGAACTCAAACCTATAACCTTTTTGGATCACTAGCCATAATAGATTAATAGTGTCTATTTATTACTCTAAAATCTTCCCTAGTTTACTCTCTTAAAATACGTGCTATGGGACCACATTTTCTAGCCATATGCCTATTATGTGAATCCACAGTCTACATGATAAAGTCTCAGATCTCCATATAGGATTTTAATATTGAAGACCACACAAGTCACAATTCTTATTGCACTGGCTGTCCAGTGTCCACCTTAAGAAATTCAGTGAAATGTGCCCTAGGCCAATGGTAGATTGTTACCAGCTATCAACATGAAATCATGAACATTAATATATTTATCTAGGTCAATGCAAGATATAAATAGTTAGCTCCCTCAGTCTTTTATATAACATTTTTTACATTATTCGTACCCAATGATCACTGTCTTGCCTTGCACGTTGTAGTGGTGATAGAATAATAATCATGATCGGGGATACCTTCGTGTGAATTCATCTCTCCTTATTGTTGTTTATCTAAGAAATCAATCAAGTGATCATAATAAAGTAACTTATTCATTACCCACTATTTATAGACACATTCGGAAAAAAAAAAAAAAAAACATAAAAAAAAAAATTACAATTTAAAAAAAAGATTATGAAATTATAACAATTTCAAATTTATTTACACATCTATAACAACCAGTTTTGACCAAAATTGGACGCAATCAGTAGCGCCTAAATTTGGACGTAATAAGAAACATGGCATAAATTTAGGCATGCCTATGACTCACTTGAGGATGACATATAAGTCATGACACAAAAGTTTGGAAGGTCGTAACTTTTGTTTCAGGTTTTAGAATCAAATAATTTTTTTTTATCATACGTAACTTTTTGAAATCTATCGCGCTGACAAATTTACATAATTGTGTAATCACACAACTTATTAAAGAAATTATGCAAAATATCCATAATCCACAAATCCTACATATAATGTAGAGATCCTGACATTGTAGAAAATTTTGAGATACTTATACCTATTTTCTAGACAAGTTGAATAAGTTTTACATAATGACTCTTCTCTATTAAAATAATGAGTCATTATTATTTGTTAGTGTTGGATAGTAAGAAATACGAATAGGAATTAAATAAAATAAAATGTGCCAAATAGGCACAAAGAAACATTTTTTACCGCGGGGATTTGCTTACACGTAGATCTTGAAAAGTTGGTGCAATTAAAAAAAAATTATCTGATTCGAATACCTAAATTTAAAGTTATAGTCTTCTGAAATTTTACAGTAAAACTTCTAAAATTTTGTGCCACGTGTCATTCTTGTATGAGTCACGCCCAAATTTGGACGCGACTGACTGGTTGCTAACTTGCTTCGTAAATAAGAGTTAAATTGCTATAATTGTAAAAAAAATTATTTAAATTGTAATATTTTAATATTTTTTGCCAGACACAATCACAGTGTATAAGTCGAGTAACGTGCATATAGCCTATGTAGCACCGATACCGACACGGGACACGACACTCCGATACGTTAATTCTAAAAAATGTTAGATTTCGACACGTTTTGATATTAAATAATATTTTAATTTATATAGTATATATTATATTTAATATTCAATATTTTAACAAAAAAATGAAACTAAACTTATAATATTCATCAATTTTGCAAAGAAACATAAGATATCTCAAATATTTATATTAAACTCAATAAAATGGTAATTGTAATCCAACGAATCTAATAGTTGGAATTAAAAAATTAACGCAACGCCAACTTTAAATCTTTTTTTGAATTTCTATAACGTGTGTTGGAGTGTCGGGAAGTGTCAAAAAGTGTCAGACACGACACGTCAGGATTTTTGAAGTGTCGGTACTTCATAGGATATAGCTATATAATGTGCTACACAAGAAAATCTCCTTGAAGAAACCTATTTAAGAAATTAGAACCCTCCGTTGATCAAAAAGTTTCTGAATCTATAACTCATTGACCACACTCATATCAAAATATATAAACATGCACATACAGCTACTTTTGGATCAAGGAACAATTTTTATATTTATTTTGATTCAAGGTTTAAAGTAAAAAGTCAACAAATTTAGCTTTCATTTTACATGTCATAAACCCTAAAATCCATTAGAATAAAAGAAACAAAATGAATCACTGAAAAAGAAACCAAGCATATTCAAGCAAGACGAATTAACCTTACTCACCGATATTCGCATCAGCAATGTCCGATTCCTCGGAGAAGCTGTCAATCACCATAACCATTGCCACTCTATGAGTTTTCCTCACGCGCCTCTACCACCACGCACATCACCGTCCCTGGACGGAACTCGTCGACCGGAGCGCTATCTCCTTGCCGGAATCACTCACCGAAGCCTTCTCCCGAGTCCGCAAGAACGTTAACTACTTCCGCGTTAACTACCTCATCGTGGTGGCGGTTATGCTCATCGTGTCCCTCCCTATCGCGCCCTCTCTCGTTCCTTTTCATAGCTTTAGTCGCCGGCGTGTGGCTCTTCCTCTATGTTCTCCGGTCGCCTGATCAGCAGCTCGTGGTCCTTGGCCGCGTGTTCACTGACTGCGAGGCTCTGGTTGGGCTGAGCCTGGCTACCGTCACGGTGACTCTTCTGACAAGTGTGATTTCGGTGATCTTCTCCGTCGTCACGGTGGCGGTAGGGATGGTGTGTGCTCACGGAGCGCTTCGGGTTCCAGAGGATCTGTTCCTTGAGCAGCAAGATTCGAGGCCATGGGCTTCTGAGCTTTTTCCATTCGTTGAAAGTGGGCCTGCATCTTCAATTGGAATCCCTTTAGGCCCAACGGCGGTCTAGTATAGTACGTTAGGCCATTGGGTTATTTTCTATATATATTTTTCTTCTTCTCCTTTTATAAATTTTCCGTTTTCTCTATTGAGATATTATGTGTGTTTGTATTTTTTTTGCTGTAAGAGATAAAAGATCAATCAGAGAATAATAAATATGTTTCATAGATGTAACATGTAAGATTCTTTGTTTTCTTTCTTGAGAAATTATGTCTGTGTTTTTTTTTCTTTTGTTGTACGAGTTAAAGTGTGAGTTAAAGAATGATAAATATGTTACATGAAAGATTATTTATTTTCTTTCTTAAGAAAGGAGAAGGATATTGTAACAACTAATTAGTGTTATTACCAATGTTACTACCAATCAATTTTATTATTAGATCGATTATGTTGATCCAATGGTTATATTTATATCCATCTTTGTATGGTTATGATTCCTCATATTTAATACTTTATATTTATTTTCATCTTTGTATGGTTATGATTTTTCATATTTAATGTTGTCACACTAAATACAGGGAATTATAACCATACAAAGATGGAAATAAATTATTATCGTTAGATTACAATCTCATCCAAATGTGGAGATTTGCAGAATAAAATAAATCTTTTTTACCTTTCTTTCACTCTTCATCGTCTCTCATACTTTTTCTCTCTCCTCCCATTTCTCTCTTCCAGTACTGTTGAAAATTAAGGGACAACGCTGTTAACAAAACTCCCTAAAAGTTGGATCCTTTTTTGCTTTTGCAAGTTGCTGAATAGAAAATTGTTCATAGATATTCCAAAGCATGTATTCTCTTATATTAACAAAATAGGAATCCAAAGACAGTGTAAGAAGGGTTTAGCTAATGAGAGATATAAACTCTTCCGAGAACCAGTAACGCGTAAACCATGTCAAACCAAGACCGATCAATATCCGAACGGCACAGATTCAAACTTCTCCTATAATAGTTTCCAGTGCGGAATAAAATTCATACGTAGGTAATTCAAATGGCATATTGTTGAACACTAAAAAAAACCTCATTTTTCTCTGGTATATGTTCTGGACGAACATTAATCTGGATCTCTCTCCTCTTTGTCTGCCTTGTTATCTTAATCCTTAGCGTATATATAAGTGTAGCCTTGGAACAGTTACCTGTATCGTGAGAGTGGTGTCATGACATCGTGGTAGGCCCACTTAAGACTCCCTTACTGGAAATGCTGGTTGACTCAACTTACTGCTACTCCACTACGCGCAGCAGTTAGTGACATGCCTACTCGCCTATTCGTTCCGAGTACCTTACTTGTATGAGCAAGTACAGCTCGCTGTGTTAACCCGGAACAGTATATAATATAGAAATTTATTGAAATTTTCAAAATTTAATAATACATTGAACCAGAAAGAAAATCAAAGTATTCTTTATTCACATTATAAATCACGGAAATCGATAGAGTGAAAGAGGAGAAGAGAAAAAAAGTATGAAAGACAACGAAGAGAAAGAAAGAAAAAAAATGGTTTATTTTATTCTGCAAATCTCCACCGTTGGATAAGATTATAATCTAACAGTGATGAGAGAGGTAAGCAAAGGTAGACGAAAAAAAGTAGGCAAAATAACTTATCTCATAAAAAATAGACTAAACAAAAGATAAATGGTGTGAGCAATGACATTATCATTTTATCCAAGTCCATTGGTGCCGTTACATTCAAATAAAAGCATGTGTATACAATTAGCAACAACAAAAATAAGGAAAAGGATCCATCATCCATGGATATAGACTGGTCATTTACTAGTGAATTCAATGTGAAATTAACGTACGGATCTATCTGTTTAAAGTCAATTGATGGGAAATATTTAACGTGCACTCGGTGCACAAAAAATTCAGTGGGAGAAATCAATAAAAAACTTGTATTTTTTAAAAAGTTTGTACGAAAGAGAGAAAGTAAAATTTTTGATCCAAGTGTCATTAGTTGAATGGGAGGCCCATGTGCTCCCGGTTCACCGAAAATATTCTCCAATTGATGCCACAGCCTCACTCCAGAAAACAAAAAAGACTCAATTGAATAACATTCTTAATTCACACCCGGTTCCCATTTCATTTCTCTCTTTGACCTAGGATTTATCATACATGATGTATGTAACAGAATTACTTCAAATTTGTAAAATCCAAAAGAGAAGCTGAAGTTTTGTCTAGGATTTATCACACATGATGAATGTAACAAAATCATCGGACCAAGCAAAGTTGACCTTATTTATGTCAGCAATTTCATGTCTTTCAAATCCTAGTTATTTCCCAAGGCATTTAAAAATATTTTCAAATTAATTAACTATCCAACCAATATTATACAGGTTCTGTTAACTATAAACTATTGCATGAAAAGTTGAAATATTTGATTTCTTAAAAATTCAACAAAGCATTGAGTACTTTTTCTTCCAATATTTAAGATGATTTAATAAACAAATAATAATGCTTTTTAATTCATACTACGAGGGCAATGTTTAATAACTAGAATGATTTATAGGGACTGAATAGCATTTAATGAAAAAATATGGTGTGCGAGGTGAGCAATAACATTATCCTTTTATCAAAGTCCACTGGTTCCCTTATATTCAGATAAAAGCCTGTGTATACAATTGGAAAAAAGAATAAAAAAAGGCCGGTGGATATAGAGTAGTGATGTACTAGTAAATTCAGTGTGAAATTAACAGGTTATATTCAATTGATACCCCCACAATAAAAAACAAAAATGGCTCTATTGAACAACATTCTTAATCCATACTTGGTTTCCATTTCATTTCTCTTTCTTTTAACACTGCAAAACAACAACAAAAACAACAATGAAAAAAGAGAGGAAGGGAACTAGTTAGAGTATGAGCAACCTCCTTCAAGGAAACTTCCTTCAAATTTATAAAATCCCAAAGAGAAGTGAACTCTTGCCTAGGATTCACAACATATGATGTATGTAACAAAATCATCGGACCAAGCAAAGTTGATAAGCCGCTTAGACGTTACTACTTATGCAGTTCCTTTTCATGGTAAAATCCAATCTCAACGAGCAATAAACACACTTCTTCAGCTCAAAGAGGAAGTAAAAGAAAAACTCATGATGACTACTCCAATTAGAAATTTGTTAATCCAACAAAAAATATGGAGGTTGGTTGGTTTTTTGTCTACTTTGGTTGGGCTGCTTTCTTTTGCTTTGAGTTCCTCTTTCAAACAACTATTTGGACAGTGGAACTTGTTGAAGATCTTTGTTTATACTGTTATAAGTTCCATTATATGCAACATGATGTTATTCGTAAAGAAGTTTCAGCTGTCTAGGAGAGTCTTATGGCAAGCTCACGTGGGGTTTTTAGTCTTTATGCTCACCTCTATATACTCGTTTTACGCTGGCCAAAAAATCACTGGAAAATCAGACAAATGTAGCCTGATTTCCAGTGGAGCATTTGCTCTGATGTCATTGAGTTTGTCAAGGCAGATTGATCTTGGATTTGAAGTTGATCTCTTCAACTTTTTTCTGGGATGTCTCATGGTGCAACTCATGTCAATCCACTGGGAGTTGGCTATTGTTGGAGCTGTTTTCTGTTACTTGCTCATGTATCTTAACTCCCATTTGGATTCTCAAACACAAAGTGAGACTTTTAACCTTGCTGAGCATGTAACTGTAGAAATTGATGATGCTAATTCAGTGCAAGTTGGAGCTGGTAGTCAATGCAACCAAGAACTTATATATACCATTTTGGGGATTGAGGAAAAAAGAGAAGACACAGTAATTTTCCCCACTGACATGGAAGCTAGACTTAGGGAGGCAATTGTTGCTGGGTTTGTTGATGAGTGCTATCACATTTACTTCACTTGGAGGAGGCAAATTTTGGACCCAAAACTACTGAAAATCGGTTTACATAAGCTTGACATCAAAGAGATCAAGAATGTACCATTGAACTACCTAGAAAAAAAGATTCAACGTTGGATCATGGCTTCCAACTATGTTCTTAGAGCACAACTTCCGGAAGAAAGGAAGCTTTGCAACCTTGTATTCTCCAGTTATTCTCTTCATGCTGACATTGCTTTCATGAAGATAAGCAGGGGATCCATGACTCAGTTACTGAATTTCGCCAATGCTGTGGCTACTGGGACCGGTTCCCCAGAGCGTTTGTTCAGGATCCTTAAAGTGTTTGAGGCATTGAGAGAACTATTACCTGAGATGGAGTCATTGTTTTCTGATCAGTATAGTGTGACTCTCAGAGATGAGGCAATTGCAATCTGTGAAAAGTTGAGGGAAGCAATCAAAAGCGTTTTTAAGGACTTGGAGAATATGTTATGCCAGGACCCTCCTACAAGGGTGACTGTTCCTGGTGGAGGGCTTCATCCAATTACACACTATATAATGAACTATCTCCGTGCTGCTTGTCAATCTCTGAGGACATTGGAGTATGTCTTTGAAAATGAAAACCTTGAAATGTCATTATCTTCTCCACTTTCTTTTCAGGTGGTTCGGATTATGGAATTGTTGGAGAGGTATTTGGAGGCCAACTCAAAAATGTACCAAGGACCATGCTTGCACTTTGTTTTCATGATGAACAACGTGAGGTACATTGTTCAGACTGCAAAACATAGTGAACTAAGACAACTGTTGGGTGAACTCTGGATCCAGAAACACATAGCACAAGTCAGACAATACCTTGTAAACTACGAGAGAAGCTCATGGGATCAGGTACTTGGTATGTTTAAGGTAGATAATGATCATGTATTTGTGGAGTCCTTCAAACAGAAGCTTAGCCTGTTAATCTTGCAATTTGAAGGGATATGTAAAGTGCAGTCTACATGGGTTATCTTTGATGAAAGGCTAAGAGAAAAGATTATAAGTTCGTTGAAAAAAATCCTGTTGCCAGCATATGAAAATTTCTCTGCAAGGTTCCAAAATGTTATGGAGACACAAGAAGATACCAATATATATAGTGACCTTGGGTTTGGGATCCAAGATATTGTGACCGGAATAGACAAGTTGTTTCAAGGAAGAGATGAGCTCAAAAAGCACAGGTATGACAAGTTTTGAGGTTGAGACACAAGAACAAAGTATATTCCTATTTGTCATTTATGATTATGTTAGAGCCTTTCGAAGTTTAGTTTTCTGCTATAGTATCTTTTGATTATGCAAGCATAAGGTTGAAAATATTTTATAGGTACTAGATGTTTTTCTCAAGATGTTAGATGTAGCAACATGCCTCTTACCTGAAACCTTCTATCATATTTTGTTGCAGAAATATGCAACCAACATGGACCATAGTCTTGCCCATTAACAAGGATTTCTATGAATGGAGGAAGCGGGGTCAAGATGCATTCCTCAATTCTTCATATCCAAGGTATCCTTACTGTTCCTTTTTATTCTAAAGAAAACAGAAGAAAAGATAACTTCAATGAGATATAAAATGACAGATTGAAATAGTATCCTGATATCTTAACTAGCATTTTAGCAAGAACAGAACACTTCATTTTTAACATATAGACAAAGAAAAAAATTTAACAGTTGCAATTCTAGGCGCTGCCAAAAAAACTAAATCCAGAAACATATATGTAATGTTCGCTGTCATTGACAGGGATTACTACTGGTGTATTCACAAGTTTGATCAAGGTTGCCAGGCAACCAAACAGGTCCAGCAAATACAAGAAAATCCTACAAAGTTCATGACTAGGTATACTGGCTTACATACATGCAGAATGGGAGCTAACGCTCCAGGAATGCTTACAGAAGCTAATACTCACGAAACATTTATTGTTAACCATCCTGATCAGTAGACTTCAACTGTAAAGCCTCCACTTTGAGTGTCTTGACCCAATATTGGAATCCATCTTTGAGGTGTTATGAGCTACCAAAGCTGAATATCACGCCTATTGTTGAAAAATATTCTTGCATGTTGGGACAGCCGAGGAAGAAAAACAGCACTGTTTATGTTCATTTAGATAAGTTTGTCCTTTTGTTTCATTGGTGGAAATCCAAGGAATGTCTAAACTACAACACTGGGCTTCTTAGTTTCCGTTGTGGAAAAGACATCCATTGTGGCTTGATCCACCATGTCATGAGTAGATAGAAATAACACTAACTCAAATTGTGAGTGCCCATACCCTTGAAAAAATTACCCATAAGTAATTTTTCAAGAATGTTCTAGTTAACCTCGCAAATCTGCACAACCTGTCAGTTCAATTTGATTGGTAGGTAACCCAGATATCTGCAAATTGTCCAGCAATTTTTGTTTTAGAGATACAGTGCACCAAATGAACTTAAACAATGGTGTCTTTCTTCATCAATGGTCCCAACATGCAAGCATATTCTTCGTTGCCTATTTAAGAGTGTCGTGAACCCTAGTTTATTTGGTTGTTTTTGGATAAATAAAATATTACCGAGAGCTATGGCTACTTTGAAATCCTAGTTATCGTTTTGTTTAGCCGATTCACACGCGCTTGGGCATTAGATACCACATGAATGCTGTAGTGGAATGACAATTAAATGCACGAAGATTAATGAGAAGAGAAAAAAGGAAAGAAATACTTCCCTTAGTTTATTAAACCTATTTTCTGAGAGTGATACATCATTGAATAAAGAAGATGAAATTTTGAATTTACAGCCGGAGAGATCAAGTTCTTTCACTCACATATCTACTGGTTACTTCAACAACTTTCGTCCAGATATTTGCTATTTTCTCCGCATATCCCACCTATTAATTCACATTTCACAGAAGCACCAATGAATAAAAAAGATGAAAACTCGAATTTACAGCCACAGTGATCAAATGCTATCATTCACGTATCCATTGGTCTCTTCAACAACTTCTGTGCAGACATTTGCAATTTTTTACTCATAGCCCACATATTAACTCACAAAGACTCTTGATTGCCTGGGGCTAAATGCAATGAATGTGTAAAGAACCGATTCAACCCAAAAGTTTAAGCTGGTGGGTAAGGATTTTTTAATAGTTTATACTATTCTCGAACACACCCTTTCACACAAGAGCTCATTGGGCTTGAAGGGTGGATGATGCATCAGGCTCAGCCAACCTATGCAAAGAAATTGCACAAGAGAAAGTGGGGGGCGGTGAAGATCGAACCCGTGACACCGAGGCTCTGATACAATGTAAATAACCATTTCACCCAAAAGCTTAAGTTTGTGGGTAAGGCTACATTAATGATTTTATATATCTCTAACACGCACTCTCACACGAGAGTCCATTGGGCTTGAAGGGTGGATAATGCACATGCCCACCTACCTGTGTTAAGAAATTCTACAAAAGAAAATGAAAAGCCATGAGGACCAAACCCGTGACACCGAAGCTCTGATACCATGTAAATAACCATTTCACCCAAAAGCTTAAGCTTGTGAGTGAAGCTACATTAATGGTCTTATATATCTCTAATAGAATGCAACTAAAGATAGTTCCAACTAAGAAGTAACGTGGGCATATGAGAAGAAAAATTAACCAATGTTGACTGAAATATACAGCTTTTCAATTCTCATTTACCGTAAGATTAGCGGTGTCTATGCACTAGAGAATTTAAAAACAATTATCGCATTCCATTTATTCTTAAAAGGAGGCACTAGTAGACCCATGGAATCTTAGAGACACAAATTTTCACAATTTCAACTTACAGAGGTCGTGGATGATCTCTATGCTGCACTGATTCAGAGTCAGCAGTAATTCACTACAAAACAAGCAATGTTCTGTGCAATAACTGTTGCTATGCAGCTTAAATAAAGCACAGAATTGCATGTGCAGCGAGCACCATTTTCTAAATTGCATTCAACAAGTATAAAACAAGCACAAGAAAAGAAGCCCCCAGATATTTAGGTCTTAAGCATAACTCAGTGTGCACCAAAAGATGATATCGGCACCTACAGAACTTTTGAAGGTCATTCCCAATGGTTTGAAATTTCACTGGCAATGCAAAGACCCAGATACCGCCAAGCACTGGCAATTCAACGGCTGCCTAGTGCTCAGTGCTTCAGTCTGACATGAATATAAAGTATGTTCATTACTTGAGTGCAAAACCATACATTTAACTTTTGAAACACATTTCAAATCTTTAATATGCCCATTTAAAAAGAAAAACATTTATTAGATTTTACACTCCCACCACCACCCCTCCTTTTTTTTTATGGCCTCACTATATCCATTATTCACATGTCTGAATATTTTATTTTTCTCTAGCCTCAAAACATCACATAATTCCATATGAGACTTACTAGTTTTAAATTTACATCTCTTTATATGATGCTTAGACTCTTAAACATTCTAGTGTAGAATCTCAGAACTGCAACTTTTTCAACTTTGACATATTTCCCTAAGTGTTTGATATTGTGTTTTATGCATTTGGTTTTGAACATTAGATGTTCCTTGGAATTGGTATAAGTTTATGCAAACACACAAACAGATATATCATGTGTGCCACGCTTCAATGTTACATCACATGCATCTCATAATTTGGACATATTACAGATTTCAACTTCATTGTATCAGCGAGAGCAACAGTTACTGATTGAAATTTAAAAGGAAGCTAACTTGTCCATATCTCAATTGGACAAGAAGACAACTTTATTGTCAGAAAACACACCAGTAAAAGCTACATGGTTAATCCTTTAGTAATCATTATCTTTATAAGTGGAGACTATGAGCTATCAAAGGAAAATACAGATTCCACTTAAGGAGGGATAAGTTCTAGGGTATCTCTAATAATCAAATATGATAAAGAACAGACATAAGTAATACCAGACAAACTATGAATCATTTCAGCATGTTTAAGAAGTCAGCCTGCCTATCTCTATCAAGCCTTTCAAGTTCACTCCTATTGTTTTCCTGCATTGAATCATCACCGTTCAATAATTAAATACAGGCAAGTAAAATAAAAAAAAAATGCATGCATAAGAGAAAAGAAATGCACAACTGAAAAAACAATGAAATCTGACATTGAATTCAAATAAGGAGCGAAGGATATTGAACTTAGACAAGAAGAGATGCTAAAAGAGGTTAAGACTGAAAGAAAAAGAGAGATTACATAAGTAAATTTGTTTCATAGAAAATGAGTATGAAAAATAAAAAATTTAAACGGTCAATAAAGGGCAAAAGGACAAACCCTGGTGCAGAAGGCTCCCTGACTTGTGATAGTAGGGGTAAGGGTCGACTGTATACAGTCTTACACCCTTACATTTTTCCAAAGATACTATATCCTAAAGTCGAACCCGTGACCTTTCAATCACAAAAAGCAACCTTACCGCTACTCTAAGGCACGCAAAGGGTCAATATTATATTAAAAAAGAAAAAGGAGGATATTAACATAATCTCATAATCTAGTCACGAAGTTGAGAGTTCAAACAACTTCTATCACACACATTGAAGACTTTATGACTTATGAGGTCATTAATATGACAACAGGCTAAGATAACAATCATGTATGCTTCAGAAAAGTAAGTTTCTTCAACTGTCAGTGGATATGGGAGGAACTCGATCTACGTATTTACAAACATACTTATGAGGTCTACAAATATATAGAGCTGAACCTCTATTCTCTAACAATTAAGAAACAATTCAAAAGAATGACCAGTCACAAAATGTTTTAAGATGGTCGGAAATAAGCAAGTTCATGTGCATGAATGATAAAATTTCAATACTATACACAAAATATGCATGCATATAGACCAAGAAATTGAACAAAACACAAATTTGATGGATCACAACAAAGAGAAAACATCATCAATAGAGTTTCTGAAACTTGATGAAGCATATATTGGAAATTGACAATCGCACAAATACACACTAACCGAAAACGAAAAGAGAAAGGGAAGAGAGAAATCAACACAGTGATTTACCTAGTTCACCCAATGTAGGCTACATCCAACTTGTCTTTACTGTATTCACCTCACCACCACTAGTTACTAGTCACTCGGTTTATAAGAGAATATAAATAGGATTTAGAAAACCCTAACAGCAGCTATTCAAGGATCCAGCCCAAATTCAACATCAACATCAACATCAACAACACATTTATCCCAAATTAATTGGGGTCGGTGGGCGAGGATCCAGCCCAAATTACTAAGAAAAATAAAAATTACAATAAGTTAAAGGCTCACAACAGTACCAGGCCTCTACGGGGCTGGGGGCAGCTGCACCCCACTAGGCGGCTCCCCCGGATCCCCGCCCACTCACCTGGGAACGGAACCCCAGTTGCCTTTCTGCTGACCCCGCCAATAAGGGCCCTCATCAGTATGCGAAATATGAGTCATACCCAACAGCATAAACCACTTTGGATCAAAAACTCTCATCAAAACTTAATGTTATTTGAAGACAAACTATCTAGCTTAACAAACCAATAAAATTGTAAAACACTTAAAACCATACCTTGATTTTAGCATCTTCAGTGACTTATTGCTTCTTGTAACTCCTCCAGCTAACAAATCCTCGATTTTTCAACATAAAAAATTTTAGATGATGTTGCTTCAAATTTTTCAGCTCTAGATTGCAAAGATGATAGTTCTGATAGAAGAGTCTACACTGTCAAGAGTGCGCTTGAGCAATCCAAGAATGCACCACAGACAGCAAACATTAATCAAAGATATTTGTGATGTATATCCTGCTCTGCATAAATCGTAAAATCATCAATATCTTAAGTGTGTTGCCATTTAGCAAGAGCATGAACTTTGTAAGAATATGCCAGCACATGGTGTTCATATAGATGAAGAGAAGATAAGACTGATGTGATTGCTGAGAGCAAAGTTCACATGGTTGTCGAACTCTCGAGTAAACTCTAAAACTCTTACTAGTTTATGATCCTTGGACACAAATGAGTAAACTTGCATGTAAGCTGTCCTTTTATCAAACTCATCTGACAAAATCAGTAGCCTGATTTTATACATGGCTTTGCCCTCAAAACACATAGTTTTTGTCCATTTTGCGGGGTACTAGAGTTGAGTTGCCTATGTTATTATTAAGATCATTTAGTCAAGGATTTAATTATGTTTGGTTACTAAGATTTTTTTGAAGTATATAAACTCTTACGATTTGAGTTTACAGGGGCTCCACGAATTTACCTAAACTGTCGAGTTTGAAAACTTTGAGAGTTCTTATAATCACGACTTGAAAGCTTTTTATCCATCCAATGATCAAATCAAATTTTGTCAATTTAATAAATGCCAACCCTAATTCACCAAATGTTTCTTCTATATCCTGCTGAGCTTTAACAGGTGATTCAGTCTACACATAATTGCTGCATGAGGTGAAAGATAATAGTATGAGAACCATCTACTCAGCATAAGAATGTAACTATGTAAGTAATTAAAAAAGTTATTACACACATCCGCAAACAAGCACAAGCGACGCAAGCTGAAAATGAAATTAACAGTGAAAACATCAGACACAAAACATGAAAAAAGAAAAATTGAAATGAAAAGAAAATTAAGAGCTGCACCATTCAACCCCCTGGACTCCACGTCAGCGGTGGTTTCTGGCATCTGAGCATGCAAGAAGAACGCCTTGAAAACCGTGAAAGCGTGGTTCTCCATCAGATACGTGGCGTAACTGTTGCCACCGGCGGGAACAATCGAATTCGACGCCTCTTGCTCCTTCAACGGGTTTGAATCCATGATTCTTATGAAGCTCAAACTCGGCGACGGAGCCCCGGATAGGCTTTCGGATATTCGCGCCGGGGGCGGCGGCGTTAGGGCTTGGGAATTGGCTGTAATGCTGCGGAGAGAATAGGGGATCGGGAAGTGATGACGTGGAGCCACGGTAAGTGGAGTTTCTGTGGAAATGCGAGGTTCTGTGAAGCTGTGCTTCTCGGAAACCATTCGTTGTTACTTGTTGCGGTGCTTCCTCCTCGTTAAGTTGAAGAAGACGACGCAGGCACGAGAAGCACGTGGCTACCAAGGCACGAGTGAAATTTTCAATAACCGACCCCAAGTATTAAATAAAATAATAATAATAATGATAAAATAACACATATATATATATATATATATATGAGGCAAGATCATCTTACACTGTAAGAATAATAAATCTTACACCAAATCTTAACCATTGATTTCCGTGCATCCAATGGTTGAGATTTATTGGGAATTAAAAATTAATTAATGAGTGAGACCTAATAAATCTTAACCGTTAGATGTAGAAAATCAATGGTTAAGATTTGGTGTAAGATTTATTATTTTTACACCGGTGTAAGATGATCCTGCCTCTATATATATATATTAAAGTATTAAATAATTCAAATAAAATAAAAATAATATATATATATATATATATATATATAAAGCGGCGCTGTTAAAGTAATAGCTACCTAACATATATATGGCTTACCGATTCTCAAGCTATTTGAGACAATTTTATCTCCGGCTACTAAATTATAACCGTACAAAGATAGATCAATGATGATAAAAAAAAAGAGAAAAAAATAAAATCATAACCATTCAAAGGGGAATCAATTAATATAAAAAAATAAATAAACAAAACGACATAAATTTGGGGTGGCCAGAGATAAATTTATCCCAAGCTGCTTGAGAAATGTTTTTCTCATATATATAACTATATGTCAATATATATAAGTACAAAAAAAATGAATAATAATAAAATAAGAAAAAAAACAATGGATCACGATTAGGGGTGGTAAACGAGCCAGGGGCCTTTCAGGGGTCTTTGGCTCGGCTCGTAAAGGCCTGAGCTCGTTTAATAAAAGCTCGTGTTGGAACCAGACTTGGACTTGTATAAAAGTTCGTTTAATAAAAAGGCCTCAGGCTCTAATTCATAAGCTCGGCCTTAGAGCCTCCCAGGCTAGCATAGTATATATATATTTATTTATACTTTTTATACTACTTGTAATAACTCTCTCTCACCAATTTATTTCACCCCATTTTATTGGTTTAACAAACTTTTTGAATGATTTTGTTCTATATTATGCTATTTGGATATATATTGAATTTATGTATATTTATGAAATTACTAGTGCTGTTCCATATTATCCTTCATCCTCCTTCACACAAACAAACCCACAAAAACTCATTCGTTCCACCGTGCACTGCTCGTTTGTGTCAATTTATTTTTTATTTTATTTTTATTTTTGTTGGCACTTTTTTTATAATGGGCTAAGATAATATAACTTGTTATCTACCTTCTCTCACTTTAATTTTTTTTATTTATTGTAGACTTTGTAAATTATTGCTGCAAATTAGAAGCTAAGGTTTCTATCTGGAAATTGATTTTTTTGTGGAATGCTGTTCTCTTATTTTTATTCTTTAACATGCTAACAGGCTAAGACGGGCTTCACACAGGCTTTTATTTTTTGTAAATAAATCAGGCCACAGGCCAATATTATATTTGTAACAGGTAACATGCTAAGGCCAATCGGACACGTTTAAATACAGGCTTGACCCGTTAAGATCAAAACTCGGCTCGGCTCGGCCCGTTAACACCCCTAATCACGATGAAGTATATCAAAATGAATCCGGGACTGCCGTGTGGAAGCTAAATGATAAGAATATCCAGATTTTTTCTTAATGTAATGATTATATCATTACAATTTAGTTAAAAACTAATTGAGCAAGTTATATTGTTAAAACCTAGCTAAACGTAATAATGAAGATAGCCAAAAAGGAAGCCAGTGACTTGCCTATATATATATGGAACACTGGAAACTGAAGAAGAGAAAGAACAAAAAACGTAAGAGAAGGAACTTAATCGGAGAAGAGAAAAGAGAGACTGAAGGATTCATACCGAAAAGAAGAGAGAAGAAGTTTAGGAAATAAAAGAAAGGTAATATTGAGAGATAAAAACTTTCTCTCATTGCTCTTCTTTTTACTATTTATTTTAAAGTTTTTTTTTAGTACCGTTACTTCGCCAATTTCTTTTCTTAAAACTCTTTTCTACTTGATGTTATTCCTACCTTTAGATTTATTATGTAATTCTAAAATTCTTATTTTTATTTTTATTTTTAAACTAGTTGATTATTTGGTACCAAATAAATATTAAGAGAATGTGTAAATTTTAACTGTATGTTACTGCTGTGAACTGACCCACAAAAGTTTGGGATCAGATAGTTAGGGTAAGGGACGCCTTATCATGGCTTGAGATCTGCCATACAGAACTTTTCACATGCAGAGGCCCACAAAGTTGGGTATTTAATTAGCTTCAGTTAAATATTACACAATTTATTATTTATTTTTATTCCTACAATAATTTTATGAAATTACTTAAGAGAACGATATATTTTCCGTTAATACGGCTGGAATGATTATAGTTATAAAACCTCAATATTACTGAGAATTTTCTCACGTTTTATTTGCTTTGCTAATCTTTCCAGATGCCTAACTTGTCTTTTTATGGAGAAGGATGGAATATTACTGTTAATTTTTATAGTGACCGTTGGAAATACTATATTGTGATGGGAAATCAAGGAGCGGTAGCTGTATTTTATCCTAACAGGGTGGAGACTTATGCGTATACTTTGGACTAAACAAGGATCATGTACCAGTGTGTGACTGAAGAAAGTTATATATATATATATATATGAAGTTGTACAGTTTATGTACGAATCCACATCCATGTCTATAAAATGAAGGATGTTAGTTCTAGTTAATTAATTTTCTTCACATGCGTTAGCACAATCTGTTACGTTTTTGTTTTATTCTACTATTTTTTTTCTTTTAGCTATAATCATCTCCAGTTTTAAAGAAAGAAAACAAAAAGAAAGGCAACGACGATGCAAAAGTGCTAACATAATGAAAACAAAGGAAATTAACTTTAAAAAAATGTTTATTAATATTAAAATTTTATACTACGAAATATATAAACTTAAAAGCAAATGGATGGTAGCTTCATTGCATCTGCATAGATGGTAGCAATGATAATAATTTTTTTATTTATTATTATTATTACTACTTTTAATGTCATCACTTTTATTAAAATGAAGGATGATACATTTTATGGTATCAGAGCAGCGGTTCAGGTAATAAAAGACCTAAACTATTATAATTGTTTGGTATTTTTTCATAAATTATGCATATTTTGAGTTATTTTAATGAGCTCGATCAACTCACTATCATAAACAATATATGTAGATCTATGGCAGATACAAGACATATATCTTCAACTTCTGAACCAGAAATTAACCCAGTAACTGATGCGTTTACTCGAGTGGCAGAAGCTCTTAGAGAACAGACTGTAACTAATCAGCAAATTATTCAGGAGTTAAGGGAGGACCGTGCAACAAGAAATCACACCCATAATTCTGAAAGTGAAAGTGGACCTAGAACTGCAATACTCTGGGAGGACATAATTCTAATTATAAAGGACTTACTGAATTTCGTAAGCATAAACCCTCCACTTTTCGTGGAGATTATAATCCTGAGGCAGCTATTGAATGAGTGAAAGAACTTGAGAAAATATTCCTGGTAATGGACTGTCCTCATACTTATCGTGTAAACTTTGCCACATACTTGTTGATTGGAGAAGTAGAGCATTGGTGGACAAATACAAAAGATATTTTCAAAGCGAAGGAACAGAGATTACTTAAACAATCTTTAAAGATGCCTTTTTGGAAAAATACTTTCCTCAAAGTGTAAGAAACAGAAAAGAAATAAAATTCCTTGAACTGAAACAAGGAAACATGATTGTTGGAGAATATGTGGCAAAATTTCAGGAATTATCCAAATATTCTAATTATACACAAAATCAACCTAATGAGGGATGGTTGACAACTAAATTTGAATTTGGACTAAAAGCTTAACTAAAAAGCATGATAATAGGATACCAAATCAGAAATTTTCATCATTAATAAATAGGTGCAGAGATATTGAAGCAAGTATGAAAGAGGCTGAGGATGCAAGAGAGAAAGACAGAGTCTCAAATCGGAGAAGGAATTATGACAACAACAAAGGAAGGTTTCCACGGGCGCAAAACTCGAGAAACAATTTTGCTAGCAATGAAGGGAAGAAGAATGCGGGTCAGATGAATTTCCAGATTCAGGTATGTCCAAAATGCAAGAAAAATCATGCTAGAGAATGCTTGGCAGGAAGAGGTGTGTGCTTTAAGTGTGGAAAGCCTGGACATATATTGAGGAATTGTCCTCAGAATCAAGGTCATAATTCATCAAACCAACCTACAACAAGAGGAAGAGTTTTCACCCTAAGTGGTCAGGAAGCTGCTCAAGTTTCAAATTTGGTTCAAGGTACAGGCTTAATACAAGATTCTCTTATAACTGTACTTTTTGATTCTCGGGCTTCTCATTCTTTCATGTCCTTATCTTCTGCTCAAAAGTTAAAATTACCAATTTCCCTTTTACCTTCCTATCCTGAAATCTTTCTTCCTACTGGAGAAAAGATAACCATATCTCAAGTCTGTAAAAACTATCATTTTCAACTCGAAGGGGAATTGTTTGAGGTAGATTTAGTTTGCTTGCCTATGATTGATATAGATGTGATTCTTGGTATGAATTGGTTGTCTGCTAATTGTGTGGTCATTGATTGTCATAATAAAAATATAATTTTCACAAAAGAGTCAGAACTTCCCAATGAATCTTTATTCTTGTCAACTTCACAACTTAGAAAGAGTTTGTTAGATGGAGCACAAGGATATGTTCTCTTTAATCTTTGAGAAGCAAAAGCTAAACATGATGCAACCAGTATCCCTATTGTCTCTGAATACTTATAGGTTTTTCCGGATGAAATTCCAGGTTTACCCCCAAACAGAGAAATTGAATTCTGCATTGACCTAATACCTTGAGTAGGGCCAATTTCTATTGCACCCTATAGGATGTCACCTGTAGAGCTTGTTGAACAAAAGAAACAATTAGAGGAACTTCTATCAAAGCAGTTCATCAGACCAAGTGTGTCACCTTGGGGAGCACCAGTGCTATTTGTCAAGAAAAAAGATGGAAGTATGAGGTTGTGTGTAGATTATAGGTAATTAAACAAAGTCACCATTAAAAATAAATATCCTTTGCCTCAGATAGATGACCTTTTAGATCAGTTGAGAGGAGCCACAATGTTTTCTAAAATAGATTTAAGGTCAGGATATCACCAGATCAAAATTAAGACTGAAGATATTTCAAGGACAGCCTTTAGGACTACGTATGGACATTATGAATATCTCGTGATGCCTTTTGGATTAACAAATGCTCCAGCAGTATTTATGGATTATATGAATAGAATTTTTAGACCTTACCTAGATTAATTTGTAGTAGTGTTTATAGATGATATCTTAATATAATCTAGGAATAAAGAGGAGCATAATGAGCATTTAAGGATAATATTACAAATTTTGAAAGATATGCAATTGTATGCCAAACTTTTAAAATGTGAATTTTGGATGGAAGAAGTTAAGTTCTTAGGGCATGTTATATCAAAAGAAGGAGTGACACTTGATTCTAGTAAAATTGAGGCTGTAATACATTGGGAGAGACCTAAGACTATCACTGATATCAGAAGCTTCCTAGGATTGGCAGGATATTATAGAAGATTTATTAAAGGATTTTCACAATTAGTGTTACCTTTAACTAGGTTAACTAGAAAGGGAGTTCCTTTTGTTTGGACACAAGAATGTGAAGATTGTTTTCAAGATTTGAAGAATAAGTTGACATCTGCACCAATTTTAATAATCCCTGATCCATTAGGAAAATTTGAAATTTATAGTGATGCATCTAGGAAGGGATTAGGATGTGTCTTAATGCAAAAAAGAAAAGTTGTAGCTTATACATCAAGACAATTGAGACCTTATGAGGAAAATTATCTAACTCATGATTTAGAATTGGCTGCAGTAGTCTTTGCTCTTAAGATTTGGAGGCATTATTTGTATGGAGTCAAGTTTGAGGTTTTTAGTGATTATAAGAGTCTTAAATATTTATTTGACCAAAAAGAATTGAATATGAGGCAAAGGAGGTTGATGGAATTTTTGAAAGACTATGATTTTAAACTTAAATATCATCCAGGAAAAGCTAATGTGGTAGGTGATGCTTTAAGTAGAAAATCTCTTCTCATGTCACATTTAATGGTCAAAGAAATGGAGTTGTTGGAAAAATTTAGAGATATGAAATTATCTGTGACTGTATTGCCTCGAAGTTTAGGTATTAATGAAATAAAAATAGATAATGAGTTGATAGATAAAATTAGGAAAGCTCAGCAGGAAGATACTAGTTTAGAAAAATCTTTGAAACAGGAAGGATTTACCAAAGGGGAAGATGATTTGGTGAAATTTCAAGGAAGGATTGTTGTACCTAAGAAGGAAGAATTAATGAAAGAAGTTTTGAATGAGGCACATAGCAGTAAGTTCACAGTTCACCCTGACTCCACCAAAATGTATCAAGATTTGAAAAAATTATTTTGGTGGCCAGGAATGAAAAAGGATATTGCTGAGTATCTTTCAAAATGTCTAGTTTGTCAAAAAGTGAAAATTGAACATCAAAAGCCTTCAGGATTACTTCAATCATTAGACATACCAAAGTGGAAGTGGGAAAGTGTAGCTACTGACTTTGTCATGGGTTTACCAAGAACCCAAGAAGTGTATGATGCAATTTGGGTAATCATTGATCGATTAACCAAATCTGCTCATTTTCTACCAATTAGGGCTCAATATTCTATTGAGAGGTCAGCCCAAATATATATAAAAGAAATTGTCAAGCTTGATGGGGTACCTCTAAGTATTGTATCAGATAGAGATCCTAGATTTATTTCTAGATTTTGGGAATGTTAACAGCAAGCCTTTGGAACTAAGTTGAGACTTAGTACATCATATCATCCTCAAACTGATAGCCAAACTGAGAGAACCATTCAAACTTTAAAGGATATGCTGAGAGCTTGCATCCTTGAACAAGGAGGTAGTTGGGGTATATACTTGCCATTAATAGAATTTGCTTATAATAATAGTTACCACTCCAGTATTGGAATGTCACCATATGAGGCACTCTATGGAAGAAAGTGTAGATCTCCAGTATATTGGTTTGAAAAAGGGGAAAAACAGTTATTGGGACCAGAATTAGTCCAAGAAACCTCGAGACAAATTCAGATGATAAAGGAAAACCTTGAAAAGGCACAAAGCAGACAGAAAAATTATGCTGATAACAGGCGAAAACCTTTGACTTTTGAAGAAGGAGAACACATCTTTCTTAAACTTTCTCCTACTAGGCAGAACCCTCAAAGTTAAGAAATTGAGTCCTAGGTATATTGGTCCGTTTCAAATACTCCGAAAAATAGGTTCAGTTGCTTATTAACTTGCTCTTCCACCTCATCTTTCCAATCTCCATAGTGTTTTTCATGTTTCTCAGCTTAGAAAATATGTCTCAGATCCCTCTCACATTCTTGAAATAGACTCAGTACAAGTTAAAGAGAATCTGACTCTTAAGACCAGACCAGCTCAAATCCTTGATAAAAGTCTAAAGCAACTAAGGAATAGGATGGTTCCATTAATTAAAGTATGTTGGGAAAGACTTTGACCACACGAACCGACATGGGAAAAATAGGAAGAATTACGACAAAATTATCCAAAAAAAATTTAGCAGGTATGTCAAAATTTTGGGACAAAATTTTATTTAGGAGAGGGAAAATGTAATATTCTAAAATAATATCTATATAAAAATGATAAAGTAATAAATATATATATATATATATGTATAAAAAAATAATAATAATGATAAAATAACATATATATACATATATATATATATATATATTAAAGTATTAAATAATTAAAATAATATAATAGTAATAATAAATAAAATAATATATATATATATATAAAGTGGCGCTGTTAAAGTAACAACTATGTAACACACATATATATATATGTCTATATATATAAGTACAAAAAAAATGAATAATAATAAAATAAGAAAAAAAAATGGATCACGATGAAGTATATCAAAGTGAATCCAGGACTGCCGTGTGGAAGCTAAATGATAAGGATATCCAGATTTTTTTCTTGATGTAATGATTATATCATTACAATTTAGTTAAAAACTAATTGAGCTAGTTACATTGTTAAAACCTAACTAAACGTAATTATGAAGAAAGTCAAAAAGGAAGTCAGTGACTTGCCTATATATATATGGAACACTGGAAACTTAAGAAGAGAAAAAACAAAAACCGTAAGAAAAGGAACTTAATCGGAGAAGAGAAAAGAGAGACTGAAGCATTGATACCGAAAAGAGGAGAGAAGAAGTTTAGGAAATAAAAGAAAGGTAATGTTGAGAGATAAAAACTTTCTCTCATTGCTCTTCTTTTTACTATTTCTTTTAAAGTTTTTTTTTTGTACCGTTACTTCGCCAATTTCTTTTCTTAAAACTCTTTTCTACTTGATGTTATTCCTACCTTTAGATTTATTATTTAATTTTAAAATTCTTATTTTTTGTTATTTTTATTTTTAATTTTAATTTTAAACTAGTTGATTATTTGGTACCAAATAAATATTAAGAGAATGTGTAAATTTTAACTGTATGTTACTGCTGTGAACTGACCCACAAAAGTTTGGGATCAGATAGTTAGGGTAAGGGACGCCTTATCATGGCTTGAGCTCCGCTATACAGAACTTTTCACATGCAGAGACCCACAAAGTTGGGTATTTAATTAGCTTCAGTTAAATATTACACAATTTATAATTTATTTTTATTCCTGCAATAATTTTATGAAATTACTTGAGAGAATGATATATTTTTCGTTAATACGGCTGGAATGGTTATAATTATTGTTGAAATGAGATAATATTTGCTGAGTTGTACAGTTGTAGGAATTTTAATCATTGATTACACAATTACATAAGCATAGGAGATTTGTATTAAATAGATTAATTTTCTTATTTGGAGTTGATTGACATAATCATAGGAGTTTTGTATTAAATAGAAATAGTAACAAGTTATTTCATTTCCTTATTCATAGCTGATTGATAGCTAATTTGTAATGGACCTAGAGTCCTCATTTATGTATATAATTACCCCAGTAGAGGAAGAATAAACATGCAGAAATATTCATAATATGGCACCATTGTTTTTACATGGTATCAGAGCATTTCTGATTGAGGAACCTATTTTCATTAAACCTTCCACATCGTATTGTTCAATTTGCCTGACTCGAGTCTTTTTTTTCTGTTACCCAATTCGAATTTCTATTTTCCCATGAACAATCCCAAAACCTCTTCTGAATCTTCAACACCGTATTCTTTCAATAAACGTTCCCAGAAGAAAATACCTGCCAAAGCCATGACCATTGTCTCCGCCAGAGATGCTCCTGTCCCTGCTACCAATTTTACTCAATCTGGTATTTTGGGTAAGTCTCTTGCTTTCTATACATTGTCTAGGAATAATATTTGGATAATTGATATAGGTGCTTCTGATCATATGATTAAAGATTCTTCCCAGTTGTTCAATCTTTGTAACTCTTCACAATCTGTTATTTCCACTGCCAATGGGGGTACCTCAAAAATTACTGGTCAAGGATCCTTAACCCTTTCTGATAGCTTATTTCTAGACTCTGTGTTGGTTGTACCCTCTCTTGAATACAACTTACTCTCTGTGAGCCAATTAACTTCAAAGCTCAATTGTTCAGTAATTTTTTCCCCTCTCACTGTGTTTTTCAGGACATCCCCACTCGGACTACTCTTGGTTATGG